AATGGTGTAAGAAATCAGCACAGATAATCTATTGTGACATAGCAGCGATAATGAAAGACCTGCTAAATTCTTTTAGTTTGATTTCAATACATTAGATAAATTTGTTAGATTAATTTAATTACTAATTTTAACAGGCGTGGACCGAAGGTTGGAATCACTGCTTGGTTGGCAGCAAATAGTTGCATCTGCGCAGCTTGGCCGCTTGACTTATAAGCAGCGGAACAACAGATGCACTTGCTCCAGTATCAATGATGTATTATGAAGAAAATGTTTTGTTAGCCATATATAGTAGATTGACAGTCATGTATAGTCATCATAAAAGATATTTTGTCACCTCGAAATTTTCGCACTGGAAGGAGCAGGGAGATCGGCATTGAAACATCCTATGGTAACAGCAGTGCTCAGAATTTTCAGTTTGTCAGTTTTGGGTTTCAGAGCGTCATTGATTATGCAACCTTGATAGGTCACGTGTACAAATCTCCAGATGAGAGAGACGAGAAGTTATTTCCCTCAACATTGGCCGCAAGTCTTGCAGATATGTCTGCGCTGCCTGATGGTGTGCAAGCTGTTGTTGCTATGAAGTCATCTGCCATTTCAGCTGGCTGATCCAGATTGTTGTTTGAAATGGCCAAAATCTGTTGGACGTTAGGAGGTAATCTTTGTAAAAATAAAGATTTTAGAAGATCCTAGTTGATTCGTGATCTCCAACAGAAGTCTTGATGGATGCCGATGTCCGAGTTGTATGCCAGAAAGCAGATCTCTTAAGCGCTGTGTCTCCGAATGTGCATATTGGCCCCTCAATCTTTTCTTGAGGGGGGTGAATCAACCACGGTGAATGAACAACCGCTAACTCTTATGATTGTAAGGCGGAACCACGTGGTGAAATTTAGTAGCTTCTGTGGTTACTCCAGCTCGTGTGAATTGACTTTCCATCTGGCAAACCATATTTAGAGGTTTGCTCTTCAAAATGGCGGCGGCTTCGCAGCGACGCGTGCGATTTGCTGAGTCTCACTTTCAGAAGTTTCGGGCATTTTTCGAACAAATCCAAAAATTAAAGTAAAATTAAAAAATTAAAGTAAAGAATAGCTATTTCGCAGGCACTTGTTCGATTAAGTTGTAGTAAATTATTAATCTCAAAAATTCAAAAATATCAAAGTTAAAAAAATCTTTCAATGATAAGCCCTGAATAACATATTAAATTAATGATGCACATTTTTCTCTAGTATTAGGTGTGTAACTAAATTTACTAGATTCGCTATTAGTTCAGTCCAATTTAACGATTCAAAAAAAAATTAACAGTGCATTGTGGAAGAAAGGTAGAAAAAAAACTTATGTAGAGACCTAACCCTGTTTTGATCTAAGCATGTTATAAGTATTTTTTTTTTGTAGCTCTATTTGCTCTAGTAAATTAGCATATGATTCTTCTTGAACTATCTTATTTACTACGAAATGATCCGTAAATAATGAAATAATTCATTATTTACGGATCCCACTATACACTTTACACTTACAATACATTTTATTCCCACTATACACTTTCTAAGATTATTGAAAATTATTGAACTAAATTCTTTTAACCACCTTTCTATTCTATCCTATTATTCTTATTATTATTCAAATTTGTGAAACTCCATTATCTTTCGTTAATACTAAACAATTATTTCGTAATTAATATACGATTTCTGCTCCCGACCCTTAAAAATCGTTCAGTTATTTCCTTTATATCGATAGAGAGAGAACGTTTCTCATTATTTAAAACTAGTCAAAGATAAAAATAAAGTTGCAGATGATTCTGTTTTTCCCACCTAAATATTTAAACGTGATGATCCGTGATATTTGCTAGCTTATATCTCTCATTAATAAAAAATAATAAAAAAATTATTTATTGTACGCTCTATAATATTTAATAAATTTTTATCCGTTACGTTTAATAAACTCAATGAATAGCATGAACGTGGCAGCGTAAGCCGATTACCTCGCCAAAGTGGTATGTCTACACTAATCTGAAATTACGTGTTTATCTTGTTCACAGTTTTGCTTTTAAACTAAATAATTTAAAATCGACAGTAACCGAACTAAATTATGTACTGGGAAGCGAAATTATTGAAGAACTATAAAATTAATTAGTACCAATTCGTCGTTATTCGTTACTCCTAGAAGCAAAATTAATAGAGAAATTGAACCAATTCGCCGAAGAAGAGCATATAAAAAGGAGACGCGTTTTTTTTAGTGGCAAAATGGCGACACTAACCCGAACAGTTTTTGTGCCACGATACGTCAGAAAGCTTAACATCAGTTAAAATGATGTGCTAATCGTTTTCTTTTATTATTTTTAATTGAATTTATGAAGTTATTTGTAACCGTTTGGTTTTTTATTGTTTTTTAATTCCTTGAAATTCTTCTTAATTGATCTTAATTAATAGGATGCGTGTGCTAGTTAATTATGATTTATTTGAAATATTTTAATTTCTCGCTAGTTTTACTGTACTTAAATTCATTTCAATGCTTAATAGAATACACATTTACATGGCATTACTCCTTTTAAACTAAAATAATAATAATAATAATGCAGATAAATAATAATAATAATAATGTGTTAATAATGCAGATTTTTCTTTTCTCCCTTTATAGTTAAATTTGATTAATAACAGAATTAAATTAAGAAATGCAAATAAAAATATGACAGAAACATAGAGGCTCTTTGGGTGAGGAGAAATGTTTAAGCGACAGTGTGGACTATCCATAAGAATTATAAGTTCATAAGAGAAACTGAAAAATTCGCTATGCTGTTATTGATGCCAATGATATCAATGGCACTTAATTAATTTTAGTAATGAATTCTAATTTTATTTTATAACCGGCGTTTAACAGCCGACCCAATTCAGAATTTACAACTATCAATATTCAATTCCGCACCCTTGTAATTTTGAACTCAACCCAAAAGACTAGGGAACTCTTTGATCATGCAAGGAAACCAATTAGCCTTCGTGGAAGATTTTTTGATGAATCTAATCCACATTTGCGTTACATGGAGATGCAAACCATGAAAACCTCCCACAGTTAGCTCGACGCCAAGAGGATTCTAATCCAAGATCCGTCTACCACAGAGGATATTTTACAGTAGCACTGTGGCCAGTGCGAGCCGGGAGCGAAATTCGTATCTTCTAGCCAACGCTGAAATTCAAACCAGGTTTACCTCATTGGGAGGCGAATGCTCTATCCCCTGAGCCATCACGGTTCAATAAATTCTAATTCAAATAAATAAAAAAAGATTAAAAAAAACTAAGCTATGTTCTAAAAATCAAAATTAATGCATAAATCATACAAATTCGTTTTGGAAAAATGTAATTAATCGCACGACAATTATCGATGCCATTCATGCTTTACTAATTTTGGTAACAGGCACTACTGGGTATTATACAAATGTGTCAGTTTTAATAGGTACCCAAATATACTAGTTTTGGTACAAAGTATTACTTTAGTACATTTCGCATCTATTTAAACTGCGTCAATACTTGTGCAGTTTTAACATAGATTCTGCGAAAAGAAGTTTTTGACGGCTCCTTGAAAGGGATAAGTATCGGAAAAACTTTGACCATCATGACTTGACTTCCAGAAACTAAATCATGATAAATGATACTAAAGGTAGTTAATCTTTATTTTGATGAGATGTACTACTAAAAACGCGTTTTTCTTAATGTAATAACGTAAAGCTACAGTCAAGGGCAGAAAACGATAATAATTAAAAAGAAAAGTGTATGTATAATGAATTTCGAACTTCTATAAAAACTGCAACTAAAAAGTAAGAATTATGTGCGATGGTATTCTACTGAAGCAGTGAAATTTAAAGCTAGAACAAATCCATAATCCGGCCGATTTATTATTTTTAATAAATTCGACCGACTTATTATTGTCATTATTAGGAAAAATAAGTTACAAAATGGGAAAACTAGTTGCCATCAATTTGAAATACGATTAATTCTATTTCATTTTTATTGCAATGAATTTTGATATTAGATAGAATCAAAGCTGCAACAAAAGAAATACAAAATCTATAGGTGACATAATTTTAAAGATAAATGGAATATTTTTTACAACACAAAATGTCATAATAATTAGGCCAGAATATTATTTTTACTACTTTTCACGACAGAAAGAAACTATATTATTTTACGTTAAAATTATACACTTATGTAATGAATTATTTATTATGTAATGAATTCCGAAGTTTTATCGAAGTTTGAATCAAAAAGGGGATTAGAATATTATTTTTACTACTTTTCACGACAGAAAGAAACTACATTATTTTACGTTAAAATTATACACTTATACATTATTCATTATGTAATGAATTCCGAAGTTTTATAGAAGTTTGAATCAAAAAGGGGAGAAAAACAGCAATAAAGAGTTCTTATTTTCTTTTGATTATGAGCGAATAATTCTTTACAAAGTATCATAATTATACGACCAATCTATCATTCGCATTATTTATCAAATTGGGGTAACTGTTATTTTGCATAATTGTTAATAACCATAAATTTGAATTACGACTAATTCTTTATTATTTACAACGTAGTGAATTTTGATATTTTATAAAAGCTGAATAAAAGAGATAAAAAAATATATATAATTTTCTAGCTCATGATGATTAAATAGTTCGTTTCAAATTATAATAATAGTAATTTGCCCATTCTTTTATTTTTAATTTTTATGAGAAAGAGAAACTGTTATTTTACGTTTATATACTATTCTTTATTTCGAATTTTTATGAAAGATTTTATTGAAGCAGTGAAAGTTAATATTTTCTTGCTCATGCTTATGAGCAAATAATTCTTTACAGAGTATCATAATAATTCTCTTAACAATAAAAAGATGACTCGTTCGCTAACTCTGGCATTTCCGCTAATTTACATTAGTTTTCTACTACGAGAGAGGAAAAAAGAGCCGCCAAGTAACAACAGATGGCGGTTCTTCCTAATCGACTGAGTCGATTGCTGCAGCGCAGTCGCAAAGATTGCTTTCGATATCACATCGAAGCGTCTGCTGTTCTCAAACGATCCGATGGAAGGTGAACGTAGTTTTATATGTGGACTACTAATGTAACCGCGAGTAAAAGCTGATTGTAGTCGATTGATACAAAATTGCAAATAACATCCGAGAGTTTTGTGCACGTGATTCTTTGTTTTTTAAAGATTGTGCATCATTGTTTTGAGCTTGTGCATTTATAAAATCGTTTTCATTTGAATGAGTCGTTTCTGAAGTTTGATTCATTCATAAAAATGCCGCATGAAACAACGATATGCCGGCTTCTTTGATGACTGCCTCCGATAGATGAGAAAAGCCTTTTAATTTTGCAAACATGATTGACCCGCGGGCCGTGTCAAGGCGATTGCGGTGGTGTTTAAGTGTACAAACTGTACTGTGTTGTGTGTATTTAGAAGTATTTGCTGTGGCCGATTTAAATGAAGGTGAGTCAGTTTTTGTTTATTTGTTGCCATCGATTTTGACAGCCATGTGCTTTTGATTATATTTAGAAAACTCTCAATTGCAGTTTTCTAATAACAATACTATGTTCGTTTACTTAAAAAAGACTTATTGTAGTTAACCTTAAACAGAATTTTAACCTTAGAATTGAATTGTTACTTTTTTCTCTAGTGTTTATAGGAAATTTTCCTCTTGTAGAAGGAAATACACCGAGAGAAAATAATTGTAATGATGATTTTCCTCTTTGTTACTTTTTTTAAAAGCCAAAATAAATAAAATACATTCCTAATGTTTTTATGGAATTAGATTGTTACAAACCCTTTAAAGAAACATTACAAATTATACGAATTATAACGCTTAATTTCTGTTATTGATTTCATCGTATTCTGAGTTTTTCAAAAATTATAATTAATTTCAAAAGAAAATTAACAAATCTATTTTCAATTCGGTTTTTATTGAAATTTTTATTTTCTTGATATTGACATGTAATTAAATTGTTAGGAATACCTTAATGTTGTATGTATCATTTGTTTTGGAGTGATAATTATATTAGTTTTTTAACATAATGCTGAATTTTGATAGAAAAGTGATTAAAATTCTCTTTTCTAATTTTCTTTAAAAAAGGTGAAACTGAAAATATTATGGATGCGACAGTTTTTTAACGTATTTATTTGAGAATGATTTAAAGAACCTACTTTAAGCATTTTTAACTGAAAATTGTTTATTGCAATAATGAAATTAGAAATAGTAAACCACATTTTTATAAACATACTTTAAATTTTTTATTTTTACATATTATGTAGCTTTTATTAGAAACTGAATTATTTCTGTACTTTTCATTCTTTTAGCTATTTAATTTTTAATTATTGAGCTTAGTAACTTTTTCAAATCAGGGTAATGTTTTTTATTTTATTATTTTTGCAGAATATGCTTTTAGTTTTTAAAAATATTTTAATTTATTTAAATAAAAATTTTCAATTTAAATATAATTTTTAAAAAAAATGAAAATTTCAGCTTCGAAATTAGAATTAAAACTTTACTGTTGTATTACTGTTATGTTTCATTTTATTTATCTAAAACTTGTTTTCAATCTAATAACAATGTAATTTCCATTACATATTGTGTCATGTTAATGTTCTAATGTTCCATAATTAGTCTCAAATCACACTACACTATTAAAGACATTTTATTTAAATTTTAAAGTATATTACAAGCGTATTGGAATTCCTAATTAAAAAAAAAAATTTATATTTAAGAATCAAATATTGTAAAATAAATGGTAGTGTCTGAAACATAAAGCAAATTAAAAAATATACTAAGATTTTTTAATTTTTAAAACTGAAAAATAAATAATGTTATTGAATTAAATGTACAATTCATATTACTATTGATTATAGATTATTTGAAAATTTTATTCCATACCTCGGGTGTTTTGAAATGCAAAACCAATTTGCCGGATTTATCTTTGCATTATTTTTAATTAGCCTTCAAATTAATTTCTAAATAAAATTTTATAAATATTTAATCTTATTTTAAGTATGAAAAGTTTTACAATCATTTATATTTACTAGAATTTTATCTGAATATTTATACATATGTTGTATGTGTATGTTATGCACAGCTATTTGTTGCTTCGCATAAAGAAGTTCATTTATTACTCTTTTGGACGCCATAAGTATATATAAGTATAAGTTTATTTGAATCAAACAGTCTTTTAATACCATTTGAACTGTATGACTCGAATATTTTTTATGAAAGTAACGTTAGATAATTCTGTAAAAAATTATAAAATTTATTATTAATTTTCATTGATCTATACTTAAGGCATTTTAACCTGCCGCCATCATACAGCCCATTTGTTTAGAAATACATATGCTGTACATTAGCAGGCAGTTATACACCGATTCACATTCAAGGTTTGCAAGTTCAAATATTATTTTAGATATTAATTTTATAATTGTGGAACTATAACTGTTCTTAATATGTATTTTTTAAATCTTTACCAATATTGAAAACAAAAAAGTCTGTACATGGGGGGTTAAAAATCAATATTTAAGCGAGAAAAATACGAAAACAATATTTAATTCTGAGAAAAATTACAGTAGAGGAAGGATAATGTAATAAACAGCAAAACAGGTGTAATTGGATATTGAAATTTGAAAGTGTTTTTATACCTTCTAGTGCTAGTTCCTTTAACCATTCTGTGTTTCAAATTTCAATCCATAATCAAATCTGTTTTGTTCTTCATTACATTTGCTATCTTGTATTGTGATTTGCAGATGTCTATTAAGTTTATGTTTTATCATTTTTCAAATGTTAATTTGTGATCCCCAGTGTGTGTATTCTTTGTTTTAACTTTTGAGGAGTGTTCTAAAAATACATTTTAAGGGTGGTCTTTATGCAACACCCTGTACATAAATGTGAAGTGGATAGTATCAGCTGTTGTCAAGGTATTTTAATGCCTCAGTACAAATTTCTGGATAAGATGCCAATGTACGAAAAGCCAGCTATTTCAAAATAAGAAACTTCGGAAAGAAAAATCAAAATCCATAATTTTAAATCCCTTTATGCACTGTAAGTAGAAATAATTTTTAAGTAAGAAATTCTTTATATACTACAAAGAGTTATACATTTTTTCTTAAATGCCAAAAATAATCAAACTTTTATAATTTTTTAAATTTTTTTTTCTTCCTAAAACTTCATTTTATTTGTTTAAAAATCATACTGTATGTTTTTTTTTTAATTTTTATATTTTCCTATTTATTTTTATATTAAAAAAGGTTTTTCTTTTTAAATCTCAATCATGTTTTTTTTTTTTTTTTTTTTAGATAGCGCAAAGTNTGTATTTCAAACTTTTGGTGATGGATTTTTGTTTCTTTTTGAGAATGCTTATTTGTTTTAAGCGCTAGAAAGAATTCATGAATTGTAATTGAAACTTAGATCTAGATGATAACGTAAAATTTCTGTTTGTTAATGTCGTTATCATAATAATTAGAAAAATGTTGGAATTTCAAAAATCAGTAATCGATTTCGGAATAGCTCTAAATTAAGACATTTTTTATTTTTCAGTAAAATCTTTCCCCTACTTAGTTGCAAAGGCCTGCAGTTCGGAATTTTTGCGTCTGCAGCTTATCTTTTTTTATTTTTTATTATTATCTTTATCTGCTATTTTATCTTTGACACTTGGTTATTAGAATTATCCATGTCATTGAATTTATCTTTAAAGGTACTTTTATTTTTATTTTTTTAATTCCTGTGAGTTAAATTGCTCATCCTTATCAAAGAATCGATCTGTTTTCAAAACTTCTTTTTATTAATTTTAAAATATTAATTATTAAATATTATTTATAAAAGGCATTTAAACGATGCCAGTGATTCCTCTTACACGCTATAACACGTGAAATACTCCAAAAATCGTAGAGGGAACGCAAAAAAAAAAAAAATGCTATCACGCATGCGCAGGGATCATGGACCCACAAATAAATAATAAAAAAAAGACGTACCGACGGATTATTGTTGGCAAAATTATAACCGAACTTCTTCTTTTGGTTTGAAATCCTTTGTTTTGTTAATCACTAAATGGAATAATAATGAATGCGAGTATTAATAAATTGGATTAAGGAATTTATGTTTTAAATAGGGATCCGCTTTTAGTATAATGGAACCCAGAATTATGGAAGTCCTAAGTCCGATTTACTGATTCAATAATTTACCATGGATTTGATTGTATGTCCTAAAACCCTGAAGGCGTACAATGTAACAAGCAAGATAAATTAAACTTGCGTTGTTGTTTATTTCCTTCGTGCATTTCTTATTTTTTTCTCTTTTAGCCTATTCTTTCTTGTTTAATAAATTAAAACTCATATCAATATGAAAATAAACGCTGACTTAATCTCAACTTCATTTACAAATTCCGGAATACAAAAATCAAATTGAATGAGTCGAAATGCAACAAAACGAATGGAATTAATAATTATTCAATTTGATTCAGTTTATTCCAGCATGGAAATTGAATTTGATTTGGACATCGATTCTGTTGCATGAATATGAAGGTTGGTTTAGCTGGTTGTATTTTGAAATGTATTTAATTTTTGATAAATCTGGCGATGTATGTCAGGCTCAGCATTAAAATATTTTCGTTCTTAAATGTATATGACAGCTTAGATTGAAAACGAGGTTTGAAAATTCTCATTGGGAAATATTAATTTTTTCTCAAGTTAGCTGTGGACCCCCCCCCCATAGTTAGGTTCGACTGTCCCCGACGAGTTAGCGAACCATTGTTTAATAAGCTCCGTACTAGATTATTTTACTGTAGGGCAGATTCAGATAAAATAAAGAACTTTCTACGAACACAAAGTCTCAATTCAAAAACTTCCTGCAAGCAATCGATTAACTCTTGTAACTAGTTTCAACCCTTCAGTCGCCACCTCATTTTGGTGAAATTAGTTCGAAAAATCACAGATTTTTTTTAAAAAATTATTATTAATTAATTATTATTTTTATAAAATTAATTAATTAAAAATTAATTATTTAATTTTATAAAACTGTGTATTGATTAATTTTTATAAAACTCTATATTGATTCATGCCAAAGGGATAAGTTTGGTATGAAACCTTAGAATCGCATGAATACGAATATCGATGCTTGATTTTAAAATAGGCTGAATACGAATTTCGACGTTTGATTTTTAAAATCGACTGAAAACGAATCTTGATGTTTGATTTTGAAATTGCATAGGAGAATCTGTTACAAAATCATGTGAATGTATTTTTAAATCTCGTTTGCGTAGGTAAATCTTGTAGGAAAACGAGTAACAACTAATCTTTTTTTTTTTTCTTCTTCTCGGGAATTCGAAAAAAAAGCCTTCTTTGAAAAGTTATTTTCTTCTTTTTAATAATAATACATACTAAAAAAAATTTCGCGACGGGCATTACACGTTCCTGTATATTATACATATATACTATAGACAGGGCTCTGTTTAGAT